GTGGGACGTCCTCCGGCTGGACGGGAGCCGGCCTTCGGTGGGGTGTGCGGGGCCTCGTCCTGGCTAAGGTTTGCTTGCTGAAGCGCATGCATTTCGTATTGTAGATGGAAACAAACGTTATCTTCTTAAGATTTGGCTGAAAATAGGTAGCCAGGCAAAGAGAGACTGCCTTAGTGTCCTCAGTGAGGGAAGGACCACAAGGTAAATGCAGCCATGTTAGACACCAAGGTATTTGTGGGGAAAGACATTGGAACCCAGGCCTCTTTAATTCTAGTTTTTAAAAACCACTTGAATTAACACGACAAAACTGTATGCATATAGAGAATAGCTGTGGTGTAATAGCTGTTGATGTAAGGAGCGAGGGGAAGGAAGGTTTGAAGCTAGAAGAGATATCTTTCATTAGATTGACTACTGTGGCTCAGCCTTATGAATAAACAAACTTTAGAATATGAGAGAATTATATTAAATATGTAAAGATACCATGCTAAAAGTAATACAGCCATGTCTTCTGATCGTTTAGTTTTAATGATAAATACCTTTAAAACAATTTTCCTGACAGTGGTATAAATACCTAACAAAATATAATTGTATGAAATGGTGCCATTTAATATTGTTTATAGGTGAACCCTAATTTTTATGTCTAATCATAGCTTATTTTTAATTTGGAAGACAGCAATTAAAAACTAAAATGAAATTGGAGCTCTTTTAAACTTGTAAATCTTACTACAATTTATGTTTTACATTTTAAAAGATTTATAGAAAACCACCAAGGTAATATTTGGCATGTTAAATGTTTCACAGAAAAATGATGCAAAATGTGCATCTGGCTCCTGAGGCTGATGAAGACGATCTTTATTCTGGCTACAATGATTATAATCCCATGTTTGACACAGAGGTAAAATATTTGCTGTTTCTCACCTTTCCCATACATAGGATTTTAACTTCAAAGTACAAGATAAGAACATCTGGGTACGGTAATACACAAGCGTACTACTGCTTTGAAGTGAAATTTTCTTTATTTAGCAAGAAATAAAGTTTCACAAGCATCTTTTTGAATAGTTCTTTTTTGGATAGTTTTCTGTTCCAACAAAGTACTTGTGTGCATCTCATAGCAGATCTAATGTGCTGTAATGGTTAGAATTTATGAAGTATAAAACCCTAGTTATTTCAAGGCTACATCCAGGCACATTCAGTGTGGTGCTTCCCACAGCGGCAAGTTTTCTGGCAAAAGAGGCTACTTAGTGGTAATAGATCATTGATCTCTGTGCTGCAGCGGAAGGAGATAACAGTAGAGTGGAGTCCTGCAGGTCCCTGTGCAATCGGTAGAGCATCTGGGATGACTGTGGACCTGCAGACCACTTTCTGGTAACTGGAAATTGTGGAATTGGAGCAACATTGGGGTTGTTTGGTCCAAACCCACTACCGTGCTCAAAGCAGGGCCAGTGTTACAAGACTTGGCATCTGGTGTGAAGTCCTGATGCCAAATTCATGGGAGTTGCAGTGTTACCTCAGAGACATCAGATATCTTAATGTATTGGCATGACAGGCATTAATGTTAAAATTTATAAATAGTGCTAGTAGTAAGCTTAGCACAGAAACAAAATTTCATGTTATATTTTATCACTAAAGCTCTGCTTCTTCAGAGAATAGTGGATTTTTACATTTCCTAATCTAAAATCCCCGAAAAGATAGACCAAATAATATAATCACTATTTATTGTCAGTAAAACCTGTCATTCAGCATCTTCAAGTATTTTTGGAAGAAGAATTGTTTTTTTACCTGACTGCTTTCAGTAGTCATAAGGTTCTGGAATTGTGGATTTGGGTGTTGTGGTTTTAAAAGGGTTGATATTTTTATTGTAACTTTCCTAGGATTTAGAAAATGATGCAGCTTTTCAGCAGGCAGCAAGAACAAGTCATGGGAGAAGACCACCTGTAAGTACTTTTTAAAATACATTGCAATAGCGTAGACCTTCTCTAGAGCCCTAGCTCTGATTTTGGCACTGGTACAAACTTATCTTGGGAATCTTGTATCTCTCTTTGTCTACTACTAACATGAAGATACAGACTTTAGTTATTTATATGAAAAATAAGTAAAAGATAAGCAGAGCACAAGTTCCGTTAAGTTCTGGTGTTAAGCTAGAGCAAACAAGGAACTTTACTTGGAAATGTGTATTCTTGTTTGATAAAATGAGATAAAACCATGTTAAAGAGGAAAGTGATATGTTCTGAAAGGACTTTGTTGAATATTTTACACATAGAATTACTCACTCTGACATATAACAAGGTTGAGATACATACTAGACAGTGGGATTTAGAAAACTGTGTTGTTCTGATGAGTGTTTTTCTCCATATTCATGTAATTTACATTGTAATTAATGCAATTAATTTTCTTACTTTCATTTAGCTGTGACTTACATCAGTTTTCAAAACTAAATATAAAGTTGGCAACTGCACTTTAGAAGTACAGACTATAGATCTAAAGAAGAGCTGGAACTGTCTGATTAATGTTACTTCTTTGCCAGAGTAATCTGGTTCTACACTCGGAATCCTTTCTATAACAATTAAAGCATTATTTCTATGAATTCATTACAGAAACTATATAGAAAGACTGATAGTTAACACATATGGTTGTTAATTGTTGGGGAGTTGTATTTTTGTTTGTTTTCCACCCAGGTGACAGCCAGAATTCCTGGTACATCAGCTTCAAGACCTTTAGCTACTGGATTTGGGGTATGGTTTTGTTCTGTTGTATTCTTAATGGAAATGAGGTATTTACCAAAAAATAAAATGTACTGTTTAATGTCTTGCACAGAGTGAGCTCTTTTTATCTAAGTATTTCCTTCCAGTGAATTGCATTCATTATTTTTAATTAATTCCCAACTCCGCACTTGGTCAGGGCATGGTTACTGATTTCTTTTTTTTTCCTCTTTCTCCCAAATTATACTGCAAATCAACTTTGGTACTGCATAAGGCAGTAGATTCCAAGGTATTAACCTGATTTTCTTGCAGGAGGAACTGGATGGATTGTTATTTGGGCTTGGGAAAGTTTTCTGAAAATTAAGGTGAAATTAAGTCTTAAAACATATGGGCTTTCAAATCACCTGTAGTTTAAGCAGAAAAAGTTGGTCATATTCTTTGGTATACTTAACCCATTGTAACTCTTAAATAACTAACACTTTAACCTGTTTTTCTATGGAAACAGAAGTTATGCACCAGTGATATATCCACTGTCCCCTTATCCCAATAAATTTTCAACCTGTTAGCCTGTCTCAGTCAAATTTGAAGAGACAGTGCTCTTGGATATAAAGCTCCTGTAAGTTTTATGACAAATAAAGAGGGGAGATTGCTTAGATCTCTTATGCAAGTTAGCTGAGTAACAGTTTCAAGAACACCTAAATTCTATTAGAAGTCATTGAAATACAACCTTTACTCTGAACCTTCTGTTACCTGCTCTGGAATATTCCTTTTGAGACTGCTTTTTCTTAGCAGTTGTATTTGCAGATGTTTAGTGTAGTACCATGCTGTGACAGGAAAAGCTATGTTGTTAAAGGAGTGCACAAAAAGGCACTTCCTAAGGATAGTAAAGACTGAAATGTTTTATCTGCATTAGTAGAGCTAGAAACCTCTAAAGCGTTGTCCAGTCCACAGTACTACCTGTTTCACTCTGCAGATTTACTTCTCCTACACTTCACGACAGTCCTTGTTAATGTAGATTCAGCTTTAGCAGAAAAAAACAAAACACAGTCATAATGAGTGATGGATAGTGGGTAAAATAGTAAAAAATAGGCCTCTGAGTGGGAATTAGGGGAACACTTTTTCATGGCCTGAAACGCTTTCTTTTTGTCTTTTTGTATTGTATATCGGTAGCAATCTTCAGCACTTACTACTAAATATTTCACATTAAGGGCAAAGAAGGTGGTGAAGGATCTGGAGCACCAGTCTGATGGGGAGCGGCTGAGGGAGCTGGAGTTGTTTAGCCTGGAGAAGAGGAGGCTGAGGGGAGACCTGATCGCTCTCTACAACTGCCTGAAAGGAGGGTGTAGTGAGGTGGGGGTCGGTCTCTTCTCCCAGGCAGCTAGTGACAGGACAAGAGGGCATAGTCTGAAACTGCCCCAGGGGAAGTTCAGGCTAGAAACGAGGAGGTATTTCTTCACAGAGGGGGTCTTTAGGCGTTGGGATGGGCTGCCCAGGGAGGTGGTGGAGTCCCCATCTCTGGAGGTGTTTAAGAAAAGACTGGAGGTGGCACTTAGTGCCATGGTCTAGTTGACATGGTGTTAGGGCAAAGGTTGGACTCGATCCCAGAGGTCTCTTCCAACCAAATTGATTCTGTGATTTATTTCTTTACATTTTTAACAGTACTACAGAAGGACAGTATGCAGCGTGTCAGCTAATGGAAAAGAGATCCATTGGCAGTTTCAAAGTATATCTCTCTTTATTGTAAAATAAATCTTCATGAAAGTATGACTTAAAATCTGCACCATACTAATCTCTTACCAGCTCTACTCCGAATCTTACTGAAGTAGTTTATGTAAACTACTTGTTCAATTTAAAGGTAGAAATTTCAATAATTTAATAATGGAAAGTACTGCTGCCTCGGATAAATTTCTATGTAATTTTTAAAAAAAGTTATGACAAATATCCAAATACATAAAACCCCAATATTGTGAATTTGTGCTAACTGAAGTGTTCAACATCTGCAAGACTGCCAGGCACTGGCAGTATATTGCATATGAATAATGTAAATGGGAATTTTGCTGTGAGCTTCTGTGAGAGTTACGTCAACTCTTGAAGCTCAGTGTTGAGAAGACTCTGCATAGCTTTTACAGGCTTCTAGTGCTTTGTGAATGCTAGCTGCTAACAATTTACTTATTTTTGTAGTCAAAGGCAACTTTAACTTCATCTATGGGCAGACCAATGACAGGAGCTATACAGGTAACAGTTTCAATATTTACGTTTTATATTAGTTTGGAACAAGGAAGTTTTCTGATAAGTGTTTGATACAAGTATTTAGAAGTTCATTGGAATAATACAAATTATTACACTGTTTTAATTTGTCCTTTTTTGAAAATACAACTGTCAGAAAGCATGAGGGTTGTGGTGAGTATTTTATTTGAGCACAGGGTTTGAAGCAATACCAGTGTCATGCTTCTTAACACTTACTGACATGCAGTGAATAATTTTTCATTGGAATAGAGAGGTAGATTCTGGTGTTCATGTTTTTCTTATGTACTTATACTCTAATAAGAATCTGCTGCAATTTCCCAATGGCTTTCCTACCACCACCCTTAAGTATATTGACTTAATGTTAAATGTATCTATAGCCACTATATTCTTTTGTGTCAGTCCAGGTGGGAAACAGGAATTATCAGGGAGTACCCAGAGTAGGGCTGCTCCCTAAGGGAAGGCAAGCCAGGAGCCTAGAGGGGAATCGCATGGCCAGCAGTGCAGGGGCCTCGCCAGCCAGGACCCATTCCCACAATACCTGAGTAAGGCACGCAGGATCCACCCAGAAAGGGTGGCCATGGCCAACCAAACGTCCAGAACATAAGGCAATATTGTGGTGATGAGGCAAGTCCAAGGTCAAGCCAAAAAGTCAATGCATAGGCCAGGGTTAGGAGCGGTTGATCACTGGCTAGGTCTGTAGTGACAAGGTAGGGCTAAGATCAATCCAGGAGGTCAGTCCACAGGTTAAAATCTGGATCAAGGGACTCTGTGGCCAGGTGTAGCTGTGGCTGATGTGGAAACCAGTAGTCCTCCAACAAAGCTGAGGCAGGGGCTGAGAGACCAAGGTTGAGCTTAAATAAAGCTCCTGGACCCATGGGTGGGGTGTGTGGCTGGAGGCCCCAGGTGAGTCTGGTCAAGGTCGTTAAGGTTTGTTAGTGCACTCAGTGTCCTGACAGGAAAGTTTAATAAGCTGGCATGGGCTGGGGTCAGACATTCTTATGTTGGGAGGCATTGTTTGGTAATAAGTTCCAACTACAAAACAAATGTAGTTTGTTTGTGCCTCTCTTGGTTTAGATAAAGTAAAACATTCTCATCCATAATCTCATAGGATTCTCTTTATTGTGACTAAAAATTTGAAAAGCAATTGAGGTCTGAAACGGTGTGACAGTAAGATAGAGTACGTTATAGATCTCAAGACCAACAATTCTTAAGAATTTTCTAAAAACAAAAGATGTTTGAAATTAAGTATTCTTAATACATATAAAAATTACACAAAGTAGTAAGTGTTCCTTTGTCTCAGTCACAGTTTCCTGATAGTGTTTGCTCCTCTACTTTGTACACAGTTATCATAGAATACCAAGTTGGAAGGGACCCCAAGGATCATCTGGGCCAACCTTTCATGGCAAAAGCACAATCTAGACAAGATGGCCCAGCACCCTGTCCAGCTGAACTTGAAAAGTGTCCAGTGTTGGGGAATCCACCGTTTCCCTGGGGAGATTCTTGCAAAGGCTGATTGTTATTGTGAAAAATTTTCCTCCTGTGTCCAATCAGAATCTCCCCTGGAGTAACTTCTACCCATTATCCCTCGTCTTTTCCATGTGACTTCCTGTAAAAAGGGAGTCTCCATCTTCTTTGTAGCCACCCTGTAGATGTGGGAACATGGTGATAAGGGCTCCCCTAAGTTGCCTTTTCTCAAGGCTGAACAAACTCACTTTATATCGTGTGTAATACTTGAGAAATAAAAACATTTTTAAAAATACTCAGTTTACTGAGATGGTAACGACTGATTTTTGTATTTAAAGGTTTTGTAATATGTAACTGATGTCTGTACTGTCCACTATCTATTTTTTATGAAGATTATTTTAATATGCCTTCCTCTTTATTTAAGGATGGGGTTGCTCGACCAATGACAGCAGTGCATGCTGCAGGTTACACTAAGGCAACTATGAGAGGTAGGGTTTGTAGAAGTCACTAGCCACCAGAGGGAGGTGTTATTTTACAATTTTCAGTACTCTGTTAGTTTTGCAGGTTCTTCATTTGTTCCTCTTGGCCAAGCAAGAGGTCCTGCTCCACCCCTGGAAGTGAAAAATTCAGACAGGTTTGTTCAGTTTTGCATTAAGTTATTTCAAAGCATTAACAGCAACAAGAAACCAACGATGGGTAGAGTTAAAAAACATCCAGGCAGTTACGAAACCTTGAGGGGCCAAACCCCTAACTTTGCCACGAACATTTATGCATGTGCCTGATTTCAGTGATTTCTGGTTCTGACTGTAGCTCAGCAACTTGGATGTAGTTGTTGCCAGACAAATGCCATGATACTTATACAGAATTTTGGAGGATTGTGGAAGAGTGTGTGACAGGCAAGGAATGCCATGTTTCATGTAGCTCTCTGGGAAGAACTTGGGGAATTTTGCCTGCTGTTTTTCCCTGTCCACTCTGAGCTTAGCACTTGAGGTGAAACTGAGATTGTGAAAGTTTTGCAGGCTGGTGTGAATGTCGTGGAGTTTGCTGAGAACAAGTCATTGAGCTTTTGAATACAAAAGTTGTATTCCTCAAATATAGCTATATAGGAATAGAGAATCCTACTGAAATGTTTGGTTATTTAACTGAGGAAAAAATCTAGATGAATAACAACTGTTCATTAAAATCTACATTTGCAAGCTATACTTTAAAGTTATCTATGCAAATAAAGGTTCAATTAATTGCTCTTTATACAATATTTCATTTCACTAGGTGTTTGATTTGGAAGTTTTATCAGCCTGTCTATTGTGTCATTATTTCTTCTGAACAAATAGAGTCCATGAATTTGCACGTCTGTCAGAGGATTTATGGTTTTTTTTGTCTCTGTTCTCAAATTAAAAGTGTGAATGTGACATCTTTGGAGGGTCTTCTCTGGGCATAGTTTCACATTATATTTTCCTTGATGGGAAAACCAGTTAGTTGTGACATGTGATACATCACTGTGTTGTTTTATTGAGAATATCCTGTGTAAAAGCTTAGTGTTTGCAGTTACGTTACTAGTGTTAGTCCTTGTATTGTTATTTTTATTTTAGTTCAGAAGAGAAGATTAGGCAGTTGGAAAAAAAAGTGAATGAACTGGTTGAAGAAAGCTGCATTGCCAACAGCTGTGGAGACTTGAAATTGGTAATTTTTCTAGATTTCACTTCACTTTTGCTACTATGTGAAGAACAATTTGTATAGATAGATGTTTCAAACTGACTTGGGTTCAAACATTTCAAATTATTAAAATCATCTTAATTCTAACTTTGCTATGACTTTTCTAATCCAGTGATACCTTCTATTGCCAATGAAAAAAGGTAGGAGCTGTATTTCTTGTGTATATATTTAAGATTTCAGTGTTATAAGAACTCCCTTCCCCATAACTCCACTGGCCACTTCAAATGGGTCTGATCAATTAGTCATACTGGCAGAGATTTGCCCCATCTAACCTGTCGGGTCTGTGGCAGTGGATAACTCTTCTTCAATACCAAGCTCGTAATTGGCATCTTTGCAGCATTTGATCCTGATATGTAAGGATCTTGTCTGAGTTACATTCCATTTCCTTGGTGTTGCTTGGACTTTTTGGAAAATATAATTTTCATCCAGGACTGAGGTCAATCTCACTTAAGCCCCCTCCACAGTACTGTTCCATGTCGGGCTATTTGGTGCCCTAACATATGGTAGACGCTATACTGCTTTTTGTTGCACTATAAGGGGTCGGCATCAAGATCTTCTTTCAGCTGTTCAGACAAGGAGACCTTCCAAGCTAAGCAAACCCTAAAGTGCAAACACCAGTATCCTTCATAGGACAGTGACGATAAAGGACATTAGCCTTGGGTTCCACTGTGTCAAAATAGCCTCTGACTATTCCTGTTTAGGACCAGGCTTATGTTTTATTCCATATGCTTTGAACTGGCCAGCTCCAGCTCCTAAACTACTAGAGAGCGAGCAGTCTGAACTGTTAGAATTAATGAGATACATTGAGTTCTTAGGCATGTAGACTTCCTTTGTGCTCATCCACTGCCCTCTCAAGTTGATGGCATCTGATCCATAAGGGGAAAAAATTAACTAGAACTACAAGAGATGATGGTATTTCTTGCTTCGTCATCTGCGGTCCAAAATTTTTTAGTCTAGGAGTGTATTCTGAGAAGATATTTGTTCGAGTACAAGGATAGGTGAAGTGTCTTGTCCTGAGCTGCTTCATACTATCCAACAGAAATCCTAGGCTAGATGGCCTTTGGTCTCATCAAATTCTCATGTTTTGGAGACAAAGAGCTCCAAACTTCATTACAAAGATTACAGAGTCTGTAGTGGTCTGAGCCTTGACACAAATTGGGAATATGACAATGTTTGTCCACTGTACACAATGTCTATGTGAATCAATCAATAGGTTTGTAAATTGTTAGCAATGTTACTGGCACAGTTTTGCCCTAGGCTACCTACCATTTTTCTAAACAGTTCCTAGATATGGTTGAAGGTTACTGTGGATAAGGAACTACTTTCAATAGGCAATTTGAATGTATTTGATCTGTTGTAGAGGGTACTAGAGCAATGTTATGCCAGTTAGTAGTGGCTAAATGACAGGCTTTAGCCCATTTGATTGACATCTAGTAGAGATGTAATTAGTGAATTCAAGCTGTTTGGACAAGTTAGCACTTTTAATAAATGTTGTCTTTTTATCTGACACAAAGGAAAAGTTTTCTATCCTCAGTCTGATTCAGGCAATTTCAAGTATCTCTTTAGGTCTTGTGAAACATGGTGGGTATAGCATCATTTAATCTTACCTCCGCTGTCTTAATGTAGGGGTAGTCTTAGCTACAGTTTGGATCTGTTAAGAAGCATGCGGTCCATCTTTTGATAGATCATCTTTGTTCAGAAGCCTTTATATTTGCATTGAGGTCTAGAATTGATTCACCTCTCGGGAGCCACACTGGACCCGGTGACAGTGAGGGTTTTCTTATCTTAAAAGAACTTTATATTGTCCAGTGCTCACCATACATGGAGAAAGCCTCCTTAGCTCTTTTATGCAGGGCGTTATTGTGTGCCTGTCTGATGCTTCTTATCAGGCTATATATGTTATTCTTACAATCTTATCTATATTTGGTGGATTTCTTAAGTAGTAATCCTTTATTTGCGTGTTTTAGGCCTGTAAGTGAGATATTCCATGTTACAGTGGCAGGATCTGCCCTTTGTTCGTAGAGAAATATCCAGTGTTTCATTAAGAAGCATACTTGGTTTGAGGTTTTCGCCTCGCTTTAAGACAGCTGTTTACCTTTGGAACTAGCACAGCAAGAATTTACTTTTGTCAATGATTTTACATTTCATGTAGTGTGAATATTTTCAAATACAGAATAAGACATTTACTCTGTTAGATTATGTCTGGAAGATTTCAGTTGTCTTGAGGACTGTCTTTCAGGATGGGTAACATCCCATATATTTTTGCCTGCTACAAAGAAGCACTGTATCTGTTGCTTCTGAGAAAAGAGCTGTGTCAGCTCTCTGAATGCGTTCTTGTTTCTCTGGTCAAAAGGCCTGGTGTATGCCTTTCATCAGTTTGTGCAGCAATTTCATGTATCCTGATCAAATTAAAATGAGCTTGAACATTGATCGTCTTGATTGTGGTAGGTCAGCCTGGACAGGTGTGGTATCAGGATGATCCTGTACTGTGTGAGGACTGCCTTTATGCTTTTGCTTACTAGGACCACTGTCTGAAATCCTGGTCTACCTCAGTCATACTCTTTTCCAATGATTTTTGGATTATCTGTTGAGCTAATAGCCTGATAACTCCTATGGAGAGAGGGATTTCACTTGGCGTATCTTCAGCTAGCAGTCCACACTGTAGGGAGTTTACGTCCTTGGGGAGTTAACAAAAAGGCTTCTAACAGTGAAACTCTGAGTCCAAAATGGGGACTTATGTCTGGTGTTTAGACTGGATGAGTCCACCCCTCAAGCTGACGAAGATCCTTTTATGTTGCACTTTTGTAATAAAGCATTTTTTCTTTGCTGCTGATAGCTTCTGATCAGAGAGTATGAAAGAAGTCTATCCATTAACTATGTTCATTTGTGATGGTATCCTTACAGACCTATCCTAATTGATTTCTGATAAAATATCTGAATTTCACCTTCACTAACTGATGAGCCAACCTTTTTTGTTAATTTTTCTTGAACCTCTTGCATCTATGGCCAAGAACGTCCTCTGTTTCTTGATGTCAAAGGGTTGTTTCTTGTGTGGATTGTACCAGACCATTCTGAGGATCCTCTAGAATGTTTGTGTTAGTTTGTGAAAAGTGCAGCAGAATATCTGTTTTCCTGCAGAAGTCATCAAAGTTGCCAACTCGTTGTCTATAAAAACAGCCAAGTTGGATTTGCCTCCTATCATAAGGACTAAGAATCAAGCTATGTCTTGAAGTGCTTCCTTTACCACTAGCTGCCAAATAGCTACATTGAGTGCTAGCCATTACTTTTTTAACCATTGCACCCTTGCAGAGGCATGCAGGGCTGCTAATGGCACTGGTAGACCTGTAGCATTACTTGCACGAAGAGTCTTGACACCAATCTGCAGAAGATTGTCGTTGGATAATATAATAATTTTGGAGTTACTCATTTGTGAACATACATTTGAAGTAGCACTTGTGGGCAAATAAAAAAGGGAAGCAATTTACCAGCATCCAGAATTAGTCGAGATGTACGTACAGTATACATTTGTGTAACATGTGCATTTGCTTCCTGCCTCCACTTTCTTCTTTCCAACGCCTTCCTGCACTGGGATTGTGCAACTAAGGAAACATGCCAAGCCTAAATGCTTCCTCTTTTTTCTGTTTTCTCTTTTTTTTTATAAAAAAAACCATTTATGTGCACTTTCTGTGATTAATAAAAGTAGAATAATCATCTAGTGTTGTAAGTGATTATGGTGTAGATATATACTTCTCTAAAAGTAGACTATACTTCTCTAAAATTACACAGCTAAGCAGACTTAGACTAACTGTATGTCTGCTTGTTGCTAATTAACACCTTTTCAGGCATGGGGTACAGTCTATGCCTCTAAAGAAAATGGACATGACTATATTCTTTTCATACTTGTTTTGAATGTATTTTTGCTATTTTGGGTAAGTAAGATTCAAGGCATTGCTAAATTCTAGTATTTCATTTAAGGCTCTGGAAAAAGCAAAAGAGGCTGGAAGAAAGGAAAGAGAATTGGTGAGACAACGTGAACAAATTGCTTCTCCAGAAAACATCAACTTGGACCTGACTTACTCAGTAAGTGCTTAAAAATCTTCAATGACTGAGAGCTGTTGGTAGCAAACCCCCTAAAGAGACATTTCAGTGTTTGTTGAGTGTGTGTGTGGTCATGCCTCTAGCGGTGTATGAGATCAGGTATGGTCTACTTTTGGGGGCGGGGGAAGTTTATGGAGATAAAGTGAATGACTTCTTGAAGTTAAAATCTTGGATTGCAAAGATCCATTTATATCACCGAGCCTATTCCCTTGCAATCCCAGAGAAACCACGTAGTCAACACTAAGTAGAGAAGGATGCCCGTGAGCATCTATTCCAGCTACATACTTGCATACAAAACATGCATATTAAAATATAACAGATGTAAACCCTGTGCTTCAAAAATCGTCTAGAAAATGTAACATGCCAAGAGAAGAAAACAGGAGACATCAGACACTGCCTTTAACTTGAACCATAAAGTGACAGAGAATATATTACATGAAATAGGATATATTAGTAGTCCTAAGTCCTGAACCTTAAAACAGATATCTAGATTTACATTCTGGTTTTCAAATTAATAGTAGATTATTTTTTTTTTAAAAAAAAGGATACAACATATATAAAAATACATAGAGGAAATTTAAAGTTGTACTCCAGGTAGTGCTGTAGAGAAAATTATTAACAATGAATACATTGAATTAGGCAGACCTAGTAATTTATTTCATGGTGAAGTTCAGAGTAAATCTGGGGAAGAAATGCAGGGTATTTTACCTGACACTAACAGAACTTCTGTTTTGAAACAGCAGTTTGGAAAAATTCTGTCTTCGTAAACTAAGTGACCACAGGTAGCAGGACTGTTTTCCACATGTTGGGAGTCATAAATTACAGTTTCTGAAAATTATCTTGTATGAATGTTTTTTTCATAACCTTGCGTTATAACATTGTATTTACTTAGGTCTAAGGCCCACTTAGCGTGACTTCTAATGGCAGTTATTTAGGTACAAAAATAAAAGAATTACCTAGAATAAGTAGATTTGAAACTTGTTTTCTCTATGTCAATGTACAAGAACAAAGGAGCATTAACGATGGGAAGCTTAAAAGTGGTAAAAGCAATACTTCCAAGGTAAAATTAATTTGAAGTTACCTATTAAGAATTCAAGTTAATTAATGTTGAGAGAACGATGTATTTTTCTTGTACCTGTAATTCCATTTTCTATAGGTTCTTCTCAATCTGGCCAGTCAGTATGCTGCTAACGAGATGTATGCAGAAGCACTGAATACTTACCAAGTTATAGTGAAGAATAAGATGTTCAGCAATGGAGGTAGGTCGCATTCCAAAGTGGATGAAAATTGGTAGTCAGGCATTCAAAATGAGGACTTCATCTGCGTGATGTTGACTCACAGAGATCTCACATCTGCCAGTCAGAGTGGATGACAGATACTCGTAATCTCTGACTTGGTATAACTTAATGTGGTTTGGCTCTCCAACTCGTGAAGTCTTTTCTAAGCTAAACATAAAGCCAAATATATAATTTTCTCATGCTGTGCACACTATATTGTCTGATCTAATACTATTTTTTTCTCTTTTGACTCAGCTTTCCCCTTCTGAAAGCTGCTTCTGGTATTTTGCACATCTTTGAGACTACTACAGTGCACTTTTCTCAGAGATGCTTATTTGCAGCCGTCTTTCCGGAGAGCATTATAAGTAATCTGTCCCTCATCCCTCAATTCACAATCAAAATCAGAATACATCTTACATGATAGTGCTTTTCTAGGTTTCTTTACTACTTCATCTCATTCTGGGTGAAAATTCACAGAGGGATGTTCTGTGTAGTGCTTCTTTAAAGGGGCACTGGTACCCTGTAATGAAGACAAATTTATTAAGAACTTCTACTCTGTCACTTTGAAACAATTTAAAAATGCTGTAACTATGCTTTAAAAGACTGTAACTCATTGACTTCTTTTGATAGGTATACTGAAGGTGAATATGGGAAATATATACTTAAACCAACAGAACTATTCCAAAGCTATCAAATTTTACCGTATGGCTCTAGACCAGATTCCTAGTGACCACAAAGAGATGAGGTGAGTTTCTACTAGTAGCCATGGTTCTGAAGTACAATTTTGGATACAGTATGATTTGCTAGTTAAAAATACAACCTAATCCTAATTTCTTTATTTAGGATTAAAATAATGCAAAATATTGGAGTTGCATTTATTAAAAGTGGCCAATATGTTGATGCGATTTCTACATTTGAACATATAATGAGCATGTCCCCAAACCTGAAGGCAGGGTACAACTTGACCCTATGTTATTTTGCTGTTGGAAATGGCGAGCAAATGAAAAAAGCCTTCCAAAAACTGATTGCAGTTCCCTTGGACGTGGATGATGATGACAAATACATTTCACCAAATGTAAGTTTGAACAAAATAAACTGTATCTTTATACGGTAAATCAGGAGAAAGGGGGAGAGACATTGAATGCTTGGACTGTACTGACTATGCAAATGAATGTGTGTTTACGTGTCTAAAATAACCTTTTTATTCCCATCATGAACTTAGTGGGGCAGTACTGCTCAGAAGTGTAAAGTAATGTTGAGAACATTCAAATCCTTTTTTCCTCAAAAGATACGATGTACATAAAATCCAGATCGCACTATTGCCTTTGTAACGATTTTGTTGAAATTCATCTGGGCTGACATGCATAACTAACTTCACTGCTTTACCTCCTTTATTTATATAAAATTTTAATAAAATATGTATAAGCTAAAGTAAATGCAAGTGATATCAAATGAGTGCTAATAAAACTTGTAATACTGTAGTGTTATTTTACAGAAGAAAGTTTCAGTAAAGTTTGCAGATGCTTATTTTAGTTTATTAGACTTTGTTGGAAACTGGACTTCCTTTGTACTGGAAACCAGCAGCTCATGCTGTTAAAGACAGGAAGAAGTAATTAATAGGTTTAGGGTCCCTTTTAGAAAGGTCCTCTGTACAAAGATCAAGGCAAGCCCTTTATGTTCTCTTAGCAATCTTTTTCTCAGTGATACAAAGCTTCCATTTTCAGTCCTAAAGATCAAAGATATAATTAGTATTCAAACTGTTTGCAGTTTAAGAGTAGCTGTTGCTTCCTATTGTCCTAGCATAAGCAAATAACATTGAATATAAGAAGCATATATATTTATTGATGAATATATAATTTCATATATATTTTAATATATAATTGATATATATAATTTCTCATACTAGAAATTATGTAACGGGAAGGGTCATTAAACACTTGAATTAATTGAAGACTACGTAAGATCATTCAGTGGAAGAAAAGCTTTAGACTGTAGCAGTTCTTTCTAAGGATAGGCAAGCTGTAGTTTTAACAGACATTCCAAGTTCTGTATTTTGTTATGAAGAGGTCAGAAAAGAGATCACAAGGTTTCCTTCTGGTCTTTATTTTGTATAAATCTATAATCTCTCCCAAACAAATGAGGAAGGGGTGGCTACCCAGCATACCTGCATTAGTTCTTTTAGAACTAAGAGACACGTGTGATAGAAACGACAAGATGATCATGTGAGTTACTGTAATGAGAAGGTAGCACAAGTGCTCATGGGCTGAATACCACTACGGTTCAGTTTAGCAGATGCTTAAGCATGCTCTTAGGCATGTGAGTATTCTCCCTGTGATTTGCAGCCTTCCCAGTCTGAGACACGTGACATTAGGGTGTTAATAGGTGTAGTTAATGTGAGCTGTGACCACATACATGAGCAGAAAACCAGGATTAAAGTAGTTGTAATGCCAGATTTCAGATTTTGTGGTTAGAAAACTCTTCTAAACTGAAGCTGGCTTTTTGAAATGTGAAAAGTAAGTAACTGACATTATAGACTATGTAATTTACATCAATTTCTGTTTACAGTCATATTGTCTATAAAATAATTAATGTATACTGACATAATTTGCTGTTGTTTTGTCCCCCTCCAGGATGATCCACGTACAAATCTACTGATTGAAGCCATTAAAAATGACAGCTTAAGACAAATAGAATGTGAGAGGTAATGATGGAGTCTATTCTTTCTTTACTGTGATCACATGGATTTTAGGTCCTGAAAGTATTATCAGTCTTTCACGTGTCCACGGCTCTTGTTATAAGTGTTTCCTAATTCTTAGGAGAGAACACACTTGGAAGAACTGGTTGGATCACTCAGTTTACTGTACTAAAGTAGAATATCTACCCCAAATGCTATAGGTTACACTGCTTAAAACTTGCAGCGTTTGTTTTTTTTAAAAATACAACTACAGTGTGCAGTGAAAGGAAAACAGAAAAAAAGAGAGCTTTATCAAGATACAGGACAGCAGCAGTAGCAGGGAACTGGTTAGATTGACTTCTAAGAATGTTCTGAGTGCAGGAAGGAGCAAGAACAGGATTTGGTTATTTTTTCTATATGTTTTTGGCATGGTGACATGTTTGTGTGTTGGTTTTTGTGGTGATGTGGTTTTTTTTTTTTTCCCCTTAGGAAATCCATAGCAGAGGAATACATCATGACAGCTGCAAAACTCATTGCACCAGTAATTGAGACATCTTTTGCAGCGGGCTATGACTGGTAAGAGTCAAGCAGAGCTTCTTTTCGTCTAAACTATATGCCAATCTCTCATGCTGGTTATGAAACCAGATTCACAAACATAATCAGCCTGGGAAACATAGTTTGCTGCACATCTCAAACACAGCATCCAGGCTATTTTCAGTTTGCCTCCATAATGCTGTGGAGAAGAACAAAACAAAGCATTAGAGTCTATTCTGTGTTTAAAAAATAATCTCATTTATCATTGAAACTCAACTGTCAATTATACATTTTGAATGTTCTGTATTAGCACAAAAAGAGCTTCTTGAAGTTCAATTGCATTTGAAAATTCAATTTGAAAATTGAAGAACTTATAAAAGTCTCAATAGACAAAATGCTATGCAGAAGGCAATGATCGCTACTCTTTACGTTATCTTCAAACTTACGGTAAAGAGGACTTGGGGTGTCTAAGAATTTTCTGTTACTCCGTAGAGTCATCTTATAAGACACTGAAATCTAAACATTATTAGAAAGGTTTATTTGCATTTCATTTATAAACTTCAAGTTTATAGATGTAAACTTAATCTACTATTTCTTAAACATTTATAGAAGTGTATACGGTGATAGGCTGCTGATAGTTTACCATTTCGACTTTTGTATCCACTTTGTTTTTCAATTTACAGCTTAGCTTTTGCTTTCTGTGGTATTTTCTACAGCAGAATACTCTTCTCTTTGAAACAAAATAAAATAGACACATTTCCTATAAGGACAGTATAAAAATGATTAGTAAAGTTTTCAGCATGAATTTTTAACTAGTTTTTAGTTTTCTATTATAAGGACTTTTTAATATTTTCAGTAACATTATTGGAAAATAACATGTACACAAATGAATGTTGTGTATCTGCAGCCACAGCATTACTAACAGACATGTTTGATGTTTGGGAAGTGAAGGAAGTTTGATGGGAAAACAGAATTTTCCTTCACCTGTTTTTTTTTTTTCGGCCGGTTAGGATTATTTTCAAATTTTGTGGGTCCTATAATTACAATTTACTAATAAAGCTGTTTATACTAACATGAAATAATCTCTCACACAGACATGTTTAGTTTGCTGGAGACCACAAGGTGGTGTTTGATGGTTTAACAATCATTATAATCTTATTTCCCTACTTTTGCCATTCTGACTTAGCAGAACTTCAACAGCATGTGTTGTGAAAATGAGCTTGCTGCTTTATAACCTGTTAGCTTGAGTAGGTCAGACTGGTTTGCTCTGTATCTTGGTTTTTGTTCAAGAAAACTGGAAAAGCTTGTCAGATACCTAGTTTCTGTAGTGCTATCCACAAAATACTTGTCATGAGGTAAAACACTCTCATATCTGTTCTGGCTAATTAAACAACTTCTGGTGAGATATGTGGGATTGTTTTGTGTATATCAGGACAGATGTACTCTCTGTTTTTCTAGGCTGAGGTGTTCAAGCCCAGTGAAGAAGTTTAACCAGCAGTCTGAGCTTGGTTTTCCAAATACTACACTTTGTTATGAGTCCTCTGAGTATTAAATGTGCTTTTAATCAGATGAATTTTATTTACACAAATAAAGTGAGGACAAATAATTTTCAGATTTCATAACTTCTTTCTTAAAATGTGACATAATCTTGAGACTGTTCTGTCGTACTCCATAAGGAAGAGTTGGATAGTTAGATCTCATTGCATTTTATTGTTAAAAGATGTTGACAGTAACAGTTGAAAACTGTGTTTTTTTCTACTTTTATTACAGGTATCTTTGCAGAAATTGCTATTTTTTTCAATATAGTTTTTCCTTCAACATCAAAAGGCATTTGTATACTTTGTGTAGAGCCTGTCCATGTGCCAGCCCAATTATAGTAGTAGGCAGGTTGTTAAATTAAACGTTCGTTGGCAAATTAGCCAACTATTAGAAGAAAAGAAAAAGGCTTTCCACCACTTGGGGGGAAAAAAAATGTGGACGGGATTAAAGAAACATCCCACAAAGTTGTTCGTTTGATGTGCTTAATTCCAAGTGGTTTGAGAGCACAGTATATGTACACAATATAAATAAAGGTCTTGCTTCAAATAATTAGGCAATTTTAAAGTACACCACATCAAACCCTGGAAGATGGTGTCTGTAAATGAACATCTGAACTGCCTACTATGTTCTCTTCTGCCCTCATTTTGCAGAAGACCCTCAGCCAAAAGTAATGGGGGAACGACCAGAAAGAGGTTTATTATTATGACTTGAGTATTATTAATGTAGCTCAGGAACACAATCTGCAGTCTGTGGCTTTGTTCACTAAGCTGGTTTATGGGTTTGGCAGTATACGCAGCAGGAGATGAGGTTTGGTAGAACGTATCCAAAGAAAATGGTTTGAAAAATGATCTTAGTCAATATCTGACATCAAGTATCACTCAGTGGTGGAAAACAATGTGGTATTTAGGCAGCTGAATAAAAATAATGAGAGCAGAGATAGTATTATTAAGGTAGGTTATGGGAATAAAAAATCTTTTCAAATATTTTTAATCAAAGTGCTCTTTGCCTCTGTAAAGAAAGAATAGCTAAGAACAACTCATTTTGGAAAGCGAATTGGCTGCAAAAGTGTGTAATGCATCTGTGCAAATGCCACCTGAAGTTTTGTGTATCTTCATGGCTTCCTTTCTGTTGCAGGTGTGTTGAAGTAGTAAAAGCTTCCCGCTATGTAGAGTTAGCCAACGACCTGGAAATGAACAAAGCCGCTACTTACTTGAGGCAGCGGGATTTTAAACAGGTATAGTAACTTTTCACATGACTACTTTTTAATACTGTATTGACAAAGATATCTTTCTTAGCCACAGCATATAATTTAGCAAGGGAAAGAATGATTTATGCAAACATAATAATTATATTGATGCTGCTCAGTAGAATAACTTTAGAAAAACACGGGCAAAAGATGAGTTTTATCTAAATGAAATTTCTGCTGCAGAAGTTACAGTGAATGCAGTTCACATCAAAATTAAGACACCTAAATTTAATTATCTTCACCGGGTGTCAAAGCTGTCATTACAGTTGATGGCACTGTAGTCAGTACAGTCAATAGAGCCTAGAAAGCATGTTGCTAATCAACGCGGAGGTGTTCTCATTTGTATGAGCTAAACCTTTCTCTTAGTTAGGTTGACCATGGTACCAAAGTGTATGCAGTTGCACTTCACATGTATCATTTTTGTTTATGTTATAATACTCTCACTGTTCCCGAAGTACTACAGCGTTCCCTAAAATACTATAATCTGACCTTGAACTTCAGTCAGCCCTCCTGTACTTCTGTTGAAATACAAGCTGGAATTAAATCAAGCATCTGCTCAGGAGCTTGGAGAGTTCTGCATCTCTTATGAAAGATTACCCCCCTGGAGGGCACAGAGGGCTAGGAGCAATTGCCATTACTGAAAAGATGAGATGGCAGTTTAAGCCACAATGTATATCAGCAAATGAGGAAGGTTGTAGAAAAGAGAGAGTATTGGTACTTCCAAGTAAAAGTATAGCTCATTGCTCAAAATCCATTAACTGGCAGAAATTCAGAAGATAGATCTACCAAAATATTTGTGATTTTGCTTTTTTTATCATGCATATTATTACATGTTCCCTTTTTATTGCTGTGTTATATTTTTAAATAGCCAAAAGTTAACTTCACATGTATATGTTGAAATTATTTATGTATGTTTATGTAGGTAAGATCTTTTTCTACAACTGGCCATCCAATCACTAGTTAGACAAGTTTCTGCCAGTAAATTTTATTCTGAACTGCCTTCATGTTAAAAATCATCACCAATCTCTTGCTAATAAGTACGGCAGGCTGTTAACTGTAGCTTTCCTTTCCTGTGCATATAAATTGCCAATGTAAGTGTATAAATTGATACCACAACTTACTACACTTTAAGTTTTTGTTATTATTGAAGTGAATGTGCAGCTTTCTTATGTTTCATTTTGAGACAAATGCATTTTTTTGCTCTTAATCAATTTTTTAATAGGTTGTGGGACAATTTATAATACCAAGTTTTTGTCAAAATTGTCATGTGATCTTTGCCTGTGGAAAAAGGCTTGGTTTGAAATCTGAGCAGTTGGAAAACAGCTTCATCTGAACAAAAAGAAGCTCAGATATCTGACAGAATTTGCTCAATTTCCTTCTAACATGCGCTGTTCAGTGCATTCAGTGGTAGGAATGCTGAATAAATGGGAAGGAATATAGCAACCCCTGGGTTTGCACAAGTGGCAAGAAGTATGAGAGATCATATACAGCAAAATTACAGCTGAAGCTGAATACCTCTGTCATCTTCTAAGATCCTTCACCTTCCCATAGCTTGGGGGGGATGCACACAGGGCCACAGGCTTAACTTTAGCCCACTGTTCTTTTTCATATTTAAACTCTTCTGGCTTTCTGAGCAGCTCTTGCTCCTCCTGTCTGTTCTGTCCTCTTCTCCTTCGCTGTAGATGCAGCAAGAGAGTTACCCTTTAATTATACTGCATGCCTGAGTGGTATCAGGAAGCAGTTTGAGAGTTTGGAAAATTTGGAGCAAATCTAGTAGCTTTATTGGTGAGAGCTTTTGAAGGGTGAGAGTGTTACAGGTAGGTAAACAGTCATATGATCTCAAGAATTTACTATTTTGATGGTAATTTTTTGTGATTTCCAGTATAGGTTAAAAAAAAAAATCCATTCTCAGAGGTAAAATGAGATACAGAAGTTCATAGTGATGTTTCTGTGGAGTACTCCAATGGAGGGAGAGGGAAGAGTGTTAGGAGTAAGTGGAGAAGATGCTCTTTTTTATTTTGATTATGTGACAGAAGCCTTTTAACCTGCACTGGAGCTACTTAATAGTGAGACTGCAGAGTGGTGATGGCAAAGAGATTTTTTTTGTTCTAATAAAACTGCAGCTGCCGCTTATATTCATCCTGTCTGTCTGTTGCTCATGTACATACTAACTCACCACCTGCTCAACACACCTTTGGCTGAAGAACAAGAATGGAAACTTTTTGAAATATTCAGTTTGAAGGCTGAAAGTTTCACTGTGTTTCAAAAAAAAAAAAGAACTGAAAGATTTCTGCTGTAACTATAATGTGCTTAACTATGTGCTCATCATAATGAATGGGTTATTTTAAAACAGTCCTGGAAAAAACAAACAAACAAAAACCCACAAAAAACCAAACACAAGAAAAAAACCCTCAGGGTGGAAACTACCATAATATGTCTAGATTGTATTTTATTAATAAGGTGTTTCGTGTATTAGATATTTTGAATGTTTTCTTAATTTAAAATAAAAACTTTGAAAATGAATTTAGAAACAAAATTCTTCAGGTTAGCCATGCAACTCCTTAACATCTTTGTCAGACCCTGCTTGGGTCAGGCAAGCCGCTTTAAAGTTTAACTTCTGTAAGCAAATAATTTAGGTACATTGGGAACATGTCACAAAGAATAATTTGGACAATCTAGTGTTTTGATTGTTGAATCTAAGTAATCATTATTGTAGGGATTAAAAGTTAGAAGTTATTTAGAAATATATACATCTAGCTGATAATACAGTGAGAGCATTTCTACTTGGCAAGGGCAAAAGGAGTATTGCTATGGATTTTTATCCTAGGACTTGTAATTGGTGAAACGGTTCGAAAGACCTGCAAGATAATTTACCAGTAAGTGAATGGAGTTCAGAGTCATATGAACTTTTCATTATATATGAAGAAGAGATTACTTCCACTCTAATCTTTATTGTCAAAGGTGCCATTTAGCAGTAAAAGCAAAGGTAAACAAATCGCCTACAATGGGAAATGGCTTTTCAGAAAGTGACTTTGAACCATTAGCTCTAAGTTCACTAAAAATTAATTCCATGGAGAAGCAAGTCTTTACTTAAGCATAGAGTACCTCAGATGTAGTAGTGTTACATCTGTAAATATTTGGGACCATTTCTTTTTTTGGAGAAAGCCACAAATATGTATAAGAGTTTATAATTATCATAGTTGAAGTCTTACATTTCAGAGACCACAAAATCTAGAGCCTAACTTTTGAAATGCCTTTCTTGGTTGAAATTGGTGTATTTCTTTAGAGAATTTTCTATTAAAAGAATATTATGATCTTCAGTAGTTCATAATTCTTTGGTGGAATGTCGTTGACTAAATGAACTACATCTAGCTATATATACTTTGTCATTTTACACATCATTAGTACAGTCATGGTTTTTTGTGTAAAGTAACTGTAAAAACAGTATGTATGACAGGCAATTAAAACTTGTTTCCTTTATGTTTGTTTTGGCATTCCACATACAGTATCATGCATTCACTTTGCTATGTAAACAGCAGCTTATAGGTTTCATGTAAAGGAAGAAGGAAACTTTTGAATTCCTAATGTTGACGGCTAAATTGAGGTTGCCACATCTGTGTTGTAATAGATGATGGAACTGGGCTCGCTGTGATACTCTAACAGTTTGTGGAGCTAATATAAATACTTAGTGTAAAGAAGCCAGATTTTCTTAATAATTTAGTCTGCAGTTATAAATGTTATCACGTCAGTGGAAAAAAAAAAGCTGCCTTTTATTTCAAAGTTTCATTGATTTATTAGCTGTAAATTTGTTTACTTTTTGTCCATAAACTTCCTTATTTTGAACTTTGTGAAATTTAGTTTTCATGTAGAAATTAAAAAAAAAAATAAATCTTCTGGTCTCAGTCTTCACATTAGAGTACTTCCTAAACTTAGACGGTATCATCTTCTTACTACACAAAACAACTGCAAGTTGAAATCCAATCCTACGCCATCTTGCACATTTTTTTATTATAGCATGTATATTTTGTGGCTTTTTAATAAGTGTTTTAATGTCCATCCTTTTGTGTTCACTTAACTGGAAAAATAGGTGTGAGAATTTTAACTAGTTCACTAGATTAAAAGCAAATAATATAAACTTGTGTTTTATATGTATAGAATTGTCAGATATCTGTGTATTTCAAGGCAGCCATATCTAATCTAAATTTTGATGAAGCAATGAATAGCCAATACTATTGACTTTTTGTGACCAAGATTAGTATTATGTATCATATAGATATGTCTGTGCGTACATGCTTACAAGCGTGTTACAAGCTCTAGTAATTATCATGTATGTGAGCACGAGTTGATAATTTTAGCTGTTTATTCCTCTGAAGTTTATCAGTGCTTTCTGAAAGCATTTTAGTGTAAGTTTGCTTCAGTGGGGAGTAAGTTGTTTCCAAATTACTTCTAGGCACTGGAGACTTTAAAAACGTTGGAAAAAACCGATAGCAGAGTAAAGAGTGCAGCTGCAACAAACCTTTCGGCCCTTTATTATCTGGTAAGTGTTTGCGTCAACAAAATCAGTTAAGAACCGCAGTTCATGTAGCACCTTCTTTGTCTTTGGAGCAATTTTTGTGTCTGTGTAATAACCTCTGCAAACAACAAGAAACTGCAAATTAGAGGGGTTACCCTGGAAGAGCAGTTCTTGGGTGTAGTTGAAGTTTGGAGCATGTCCTTTGTATCCTGTTGCTGGGAGGAAGAGTGAGCTTGAGCCGCAGGCCACAGAAGTATGCCTGCAGTGGGATTTGTGCAGGAGCTCAGCAGCTGCATTTAAAACACAGGTCGTGAAGACCCTGGCTGAACTTCAGGAACATGTGAAGTACATAGCTTAGGCAGGTGTGTTTGTGTATGAAGTCTGTAGGGTATGGGGATTTATTTTTGGTTTGTTTTTTTTTTTTAAAGAAATACTACTTTGGTACAACAAAGAAAACTTCCAGACTGAATGAGACAGAGTGGCAAAACACATCTCAAGTGTTAAGTTCCCTGAAACTTGAAAAAGATGATCTGCCTTGTGCAAATACATAAGGAATATTTTAGGACTGAAGAACATATTGGGTTTTTTTTTTTTCATCCTCAGTCTTTTGAAATTGCATTATATTAACTGTAAGAAGCCACAGCTGCAAGAAAATTGACTAACAGATGACTAATACAATGTTTGTTTTGTTCATGTAGGAGAATGAATTGGCACAAGCAACTAAGTATGCAGATTTAGCTGTAAATTCTGATAGGTACAATCCAGCAGCTCTAACTAACAAAGGAAATACTGTTTTTGCAAATGGAGACTATGAAAAAGCAGCTGAGTTTTTTAAGGAAGCTCTCAGGAACGATTCCTCATGCACTGAAGCACTTCATAATCTTGGTAAGCCAAAGGTGCTTTTGTGGTTTAGCTTTTGTTTAAAGGTAACACTAGTATTTCTGGGAATATGGCTTTCAAAGTTTTCTTGTCTAGAAATATATACTAATTATTATTACTTTATTCAGTAATTTATCTTATAGCATGGTATTAATTTGTACTTCCTATCTGTTCTGCAAAAAACTACCAGCGTTCACAACATCAGCTAGTAATTGCAGATGATTAAGTCACTTTGAAGATAAAAATTTCTACTACCTACTAAAAATATACCAGTTGTAGCATTATTAAACCATCAGAGTCATTCCCCTCTAAAAGCCCTCCCTTCCCTCATTCATCGTGTTCAAAAAGTGAGATTATGTATGTCCTTGGTCTTTGATTAGGTTCATGTTCCTTGTGTCTATCAGTTCGGTAAGTCATACTAGCTGGTAAGAATTAGAAGCATGGCTCTCACAAATAGAATCTATCAATGTCAAGGCAGTTATACTGCCTCTGAGTACCATGTTCCTGTTTCATTTTTCTTGGTTATTCTATCAGTTAATGTGCTGAAGTAATCTTTTTCTCATTGCATTAATACTGTAACTTTTATTTTTTAGGTTTAACATACAAGAAGTTAAACAGAACAAATGAAGCTTTGGATTGTTTTCTGAAACTCCATGCAATCCTTCAAAATAGTGCTGAAGTCTTTTACCAGATAGCAAACATGTATCTTTTTCTGGATTATGATAAGGGATGGTGGTTTTAATAAACTCATTTAATCTGAAATATGCATTTCTACATTAGTCAGTGTATATGTAGGAACATAATTGTCTCCCAGCACTGCAAAAGCCCAACAGATTGAAAAGCTGAGGAGGGGAGGAATTGACTTTGCACATCACCAGTGATACTCTACACTATGAATGTCTTTAACAATGCTTCTGAGGATGTGCAAACCATAATAAAATCCTCCCCAGGGCAGACCAGATTCCAGTTGCTGTACTACACTTCTAAGAACAGTGAAGGTAATAAAAATATATTTTGGTCAGTAAAGTAAGTAACCTCCAAAAATACGAAGGGGTTGTGATGTCTATTCCTTGCATAGCCCCTTTACAAAAGCATAAATGGCCCTACAACTCCCAATTCCCATCTGAGGGAGAATTGCTCTGCTCCACTGCTATGTAAAACTGCTTTCTACCAGTAATACAAGCTTTTTTCCATGAAGGGTAGGGTGCAGCAAAAACTGAAAAACCACGTTGGGCAGTAGCTCCTGCTCGCATTGCTGCAGAGGTCTGAGCCGTTGTGCCGATCGGGGATGACTGAGGAGGGGAGAGCACGCTGCAGGCCTAATTACAGCTAAAGCCGCTGCTGTTCTCCGCACCAGAACCGTACGTTCTCTGTGCTGTGCTTCTTAGAGCAGAAAATCTCACTGCAGGCTGAAGTCTGTTCTTGAGGATAGCAGTTTTACCTTATCATTTACTTTAGGACAAAATGACCTATTACAAAAAACTAACAAAGTTGTAAATGCTACAAATCAATTGCCTGGTTCTCACCGCTCATTCTTATGAATGAGGAAGTCAGTAAAAGTAGTGACAGAGAGGAGAACCAAGCCCAAAGTTCTGTGTTTTTAAGGTGAAAGAGCAGCCAAAGCCTCTGAACATTTATTTCGTCAGCATAACAAAAATACCTTCTGATACAAATGAAATTATGAAAACAAGGTAGGGGGGGAAGCCAATGTATCTCCACATTACAGTGACTGGTGTCTCTGTCGAGCATATGGATTACATGATGTAAAGTAGTTGGAATGCTGAGTAAATCAAAATATCCTCGGCATCAGTCCTTGACTGAAGAAAACTCAGATACGAGATCATGGAAGATCCCCGTCAAGCCATAGAGTGGCTCCTGAAGTTGATCAGTGTAGTACCAACTGATCCACATGTACTTTCAAAGCTAGGGAAATTATATGATAATGAAGGTGATAAATCCCAAGCTTTGCATTATTACTCTGAGGTACTTGCTCCTTATTGCTTTTCCAAGACACTTTGTCATCAATTAAAGAAAATTTTGCTATAGGCTCCTATATCAAATTAACAATTGATTCATTTAAACTTTTTTAAATGCCATGCAAAAAAAAGTAAAAATATTTTGAGGGAAGAGAGAGTTGACAAAATCTAACTTTTATTGTGGGATCCTTAGGAAACACAACCTGTGTTTCCACATGGTATTTGACCTCAGACTTCCATTTCATATGGTTGTTGTTTACATTGACCCGTAACAATTTTAATTTAAAATATAATCTGAGATGAAATAAAAAATTGATACAATAAATGTAATTTTAAAGGTGTGTAACATGACTGTGTTGATTGAAAGCTGTATCTGTATAATGGATATGGCTAGATACATATAATGTGTTTATGTATGTAAGTTTACATATATATTTTAATGGTATTGCTACACATCATGTATACACAGTTGCCTACAGATAGGCATCCTCTCTCATTTCAAACCAGCTATAGCACTGTCTGAAGCTTGTAGAGATTCTTCTGTTTTAGAAACAGGACTAATACAGGGAGTTGCTTTGCTGCAATCTGAGAGTTCTTTTTATTTGTGTGAAGTGAGGATGACCAAAGGCTGTCTTGCAACTGAATACTGGTGGAGTTGCGCTTGATGAGAAATTTGCTGCCTATTTCGGTGGGAATTTCTAAAAAGCCAAAAATGTTATTTACATACATATGTATTTCATAGAAAAGAATGCTTTTAGGTGAGTTTTCCAGCAGACTGATTTGCGTGTGGAATTGTACACATATTAGTTAGCATTGTTTAATGTTTTAGGTAACTTACACGTAGACATGATCTAAGTAAACGTTTTTGCTGTTGCAAACAATTTAAAATAATAGTTCAAATAAGGCTAGATGGAAAATGTGACAGACTCATCTTGGGTAACTTCTGAAAAGCATTCTGTAATTAGAAAACTTGCCATACTTTTTTTCAGGATTACTTAGTTTAGCACACTACTTCCATTCACATATTACATGTTTTTGGCATCTGGAGAATTAAACACTTGAGTAAGACATTCCAGAAGTAACATAAAGATGTTGTTTATCACTAAAATTGTGTTTCTTTCACCTTTCCTATTTTGTCAGTCATACCGGTATTTCCCTTCAAACATTGAGGTCATTGAATGGCTTGGAGCCTATTACATTGACAGCCGGTTTTGGGAAAAAGCCATTGAGTACTTTGAAAGAGCAGCACTTATCCTGTAAGTAATTATTATTTTATGCCTACTCAAATATTTTGTGATTAGAGATCCATAAGTGTACCTAGAGATAAATCAGTTGGATAACTTTAATATTGTAAGCAAATACCAGTGTTAAGAATATTAGGGATATTATTTAATTTTCTCAAATGCTGTTAATTTACAATGTGTTTTTGCTCTTATTGTGCAATTTCAATACCAAGTAAGATCCTCCCTTGAGCCCAAGATAGTATTAGGTATTAGAATCTCTTTTCTCATCCTCTGCTATTAAACACAGCTCTGAAGTGGGGAACAGGTCTTCTCAGCTACCGAGACCTCCTTCTCTATGTCTTTATATGTGGTAACTATTTGATCTTTTCAATAAATACATCTTTTAGCAGTTCTTGCTGCATTTCCACTTTTCACGTAACTTCTACTTCCATAAAAAGGCTATTAAAAATAAGGTATAGAAGTAAGCAAAAATGTGCAGTGCAGAATTACCAGTGGTCAGTGAAAATATATTGACAGATCAAATTGATCCTGATAAGAGATATTTGAAATATATTGAGTTCAGTTTAGCAACTTAATTGCTGAAATTGTCCTTTAGCAGAATATGATGCACTTAAAGTATATAGGCCATATATTTTATTTTAGATCAGAAAGGGAGCTTACCAGACAAATGGTTAAACAAAAATTGGGTCAAATTTAAATCTGTAATCCAGAGTTCGAACAGAATTCTAAAAAGACAGGCATATGGTCTTTTTATGTGCAAACAAATATTTGTCTGTATGTTCATGAAGAACTTTGTGTTAATAGACGACTAAAATTCATGCAACTAAAATTCACTCTAACAAGTGTGAATTTCTGTATTTTGTATTTTTGGAAACCTATCAAAAATCAGACTAAGCAAAACTCAGTTATTGCTTGTCTTGTGATGATCTAAAACTTGACATTCTTTTTGTTCTGTGAATCTGAATGACATGCATGAATAAGACAGCGTGTGAACAAAAATTTGTGTAGTATTATTCAAGGAAAGTTTATACTGCAAATAGGTTGTTAGAATTTCAGTAAAAAATACTATTTCTGGTTTTGAAAGGGCTTGAGTTAGGGTAGATGTTAATTATAGAAGAGAAAAACTGAGGTTTAAATAAGGATTAAAAATTGAAACAAAAATAAATAGAAAAACATAGACTTCACCCAAATTGTGGTATAATTATAAAGAAATAGAGATGTAGATTAGATGAAAATACACAGGAAACAGTTCACAGAAATCACAGTTCACAGGTTTGGCAGTATTCTTTTAGGTATAAATACTGACCACCTTAAAAAATTGTATTTTAGTCAAGGTATGAGATCTCATCTGCTGGCGTTCACAGCCTTCTTAGAAACTTTGGAAAGAAACAGCTGAAACTAAAAAGAATTATTTCGTAATCTTGTTTTGGCAAAGATCTAAATATTTTGTGCTTCATGTTGCACTCAGTCCATGCATGAAACAAGAAGTACGTGGATTGTAAAGTACTCATGAATAATTGGCATATGAAATTCTCCATTGTTATTTGTAATTGTAATCTATCTGTAATGCAGAGAAATTATTTCTCTGTGGGATGAGATTGGTAATAGCAGATAACAGAACACAGGTGTTTCAGTGTTTATTTGGTATAAAAATAGAGTCTAGATATGCTAATTGATAAATATGAATGTTGGGTCATAAATTATTACTAATTGTGAATAAAGTTACATTTTAAAATGATAACTTTATTTTAATGGTGACCAGCATTTTTCAGTTTAACTTTGTTTAGTGTTTTAATCACAATAATTACATTTCAAATTGCATTCTGAGATAACGTGTTAGACAATGAATTGAGAAACAGTTTTTCATTATTTTACATTTTACCAGCATGCACAAATCTATCATCAATAAAAGGAGTTGTGCAGCTAATGCTGGCTGTTGGCAATTTATTCTCTCTAGAATTTTCATACTGAATGCGTAATAAACTTTATTATGGTGTCTGCTTGGCTGCCTTTATTGTTTGCAGGAGACGTATTCCGCTGAAACTAAAAAAGGTGAAGTGTCTGTCTTTCATAAGCTTGTTTGGCAACTGCCAGGCAAACAGATTATTTAGAGTTAAAAATGGCCTGTCCTGTGACTGGAGGGAAACACTAAAGAGAATAAGTACGAAACTATTCTGAAAATGTTAGCGCCTTTGGGATGTGCTACTGTTGAATTGTAAGCCACATGTGAAAAGTGCTTTGGCTTATAGAGCATCCCTACACTGTTGACATGAAAATGTCCTAATTTTCACATTATCTTGATAAGAATGAGGAAAGAGTCCAGCAGTTTTGTTGGACATGCGCAAACATCTGAAGCATTTTCTCTGACCGTATCTATCACCATTATGTGCTAAAAATAGAAGGACAGGTAGCAGCTAGGGCATCGAGGTGGTGACACAGAGGAGCCGCCAGAGTTCGAAGCTGTAAGTGGGGAGTGTGCTTCCTGGCAGGGATCCCTTGGGCATGCTTGGGAGCCTGCTGGTGGGGCTTCCTCAGAATACGGTTCTCCCTCATTGCGTGGTTCTGTACCTCGGACAAAGATTAGTGGTTCACATGTCAGGTCTACTCATTGTGTCTGGTGCACTGAATGGCAAGCTGGAGGAAGACTGTGACATAGGACAACAAATGAGTGACGTCGAGGCCTGAACGCAGGAGCGTGACGCGGGGGTAAACTGTGTGTGAACTGAGCAGGCTAAATTCTTCCTAGGAAGGCAATGTGGTAGGTGAAAAATGTTAAGAGTAGTTTAATAGTAGGTCTTTACCAATGCTATGCAGATTATTTTGCTTATTCATTGTTTGGCAGTGTGCATAATTTTATTTTATTTATATGCAGACTGACCCAAGTGAAGTGGCAGCTGATGGTTGCCAGTTGCTACAGGAGAAGTGGTAAGTTCTGTAACCTTTTTGTAATTGGTTGGAGATTTGTTACCTTTTTTTTTTTGTAATTAGTTGGGGTTGTTCAGCCTGGAGAAGAGAAGCTTGGAGAATATATGAAGGGGGCTTATAAGAAAGATGGAGAGAGACCTTTTACCAGCACCTCTAGTGACAGGGCAAGGGCAACGTTTTTAAACTGGAAGAGAGTAGGCTTACATTGGACATAGTGAAGAAATTTTTTTACAATGAGGGTGATGAGGCCCTGGAACATGTTGCCCAGAGAAGCTGTGGATGTCTCATCCCTGGAAGTGTTCAAGGCCAGGTTGGATGGGGCTTTGAGCAGTCTGGTCAAGTGAAAGGTACCCCTGCCTGTGGCAGGGGGGTTGGAGCTGGATAAGCTTTAAGGTCCCTTCCAACCCAACCCATTCTGTGATTCTGTGATTTGTTTTGTTTTGATTGATGCTTTGATTTTTTTTTTCTCTTTGATCTTTTCTGCCCGATGTGAATACTGGTCCTAGAGTTTGTTTGAAAATTCAGTTGCATATTATTTTGTTACAAATTTTCTGTGTATATGTAATAAAACATTACTTTTCTTTTCTTTTAAGTCCAGGAAGTGTGCCTGCCCTGACTTATGCAGGAAGCACTCCTTGTGCTGTTAAATAAGTAAAGTAAGATAGTACACCGTAAATGATCTGATAGAAAGTTTTTTTAATGTAATTGTACTACCATCTGATCTACCATAAGTAATTAGATTTTAAAGTTGCTTAATTCCCATTCCTTTTCAACAGCAGATACAATTTTTCAATATTAAAATAGTATTTGCATTAGACAAACAAAAGACAGTCTGAATGTGCTGTATTTTCCTACTGGGGAATATAATACACCATTAAGCAAAATGGAAAGAGACTAATCTTTCTGGGTTTTTTCATCTCCTAAAATGCATTCAAGACACTGGATGATGTAAATGATACTCTTCTTTCTTACTGTCCCACTTTTGTCACTTTGTCTCCTTCATGCTTCTTTAGAACTTTGCAGAACAGACTTCCGTAATAAATAAGTGCATTTTCTCACTCTGCTCAGTTATTTAATATGACAGTGAGAAAAGGAACAAGACCTAGGGAAATCAGTGAATTAAGAACAGTTGGCACCACCCAAAACTAGACAGACTTTACTGTTTTCCCGGCAAAGAAGCATAATGATTTTGGGTGCTTTTTAGATAATTTATGGTTCATTGGCAAAATTCCCAGCTTGTTGTGTCAATATACAGCAGGTCAGTTTGATCTCTACCTCGCACTAGGAAAATAAAAGTAGTGGTATCTCAACAAACTTTTTCGTCAGCTGTTGTATGGATAAGAGGATTTAGATTCGCAGGGTCTGTCAGTCCTCTCCATAACAATAAAGCTGAGCCAAAATTGAAGGGAAAAGTCTTAAAGAATAGTTACTTCACTACCAGATCCGGGCAAAGGAGAGACACGCAATTAGTGTTCTGACGGAAGGAAGGACTGGCAGAGCTGAGGTATTACACATTCCTGTTTGGCCAATCCGTACATTTGCAGCCTCGGATAAGCCCTGGTATGTTTGATACAGCTTGTCTAGTAGAAGTGCCATAGAACAGTGAGGTCCCAGGGGCAGGTCAAAAAAGGGCAAAAGTTAGGAAACTCCTCTTCGTTAATTCTGTTATTTACAGAGTAATTTGGGCTGTTTTCAGATGCTCCTAATTTTTACTATCAGTAATTAAAGAATGTTAAGTTTGGCTTTATCAAATTTGGTCTTATAATATTAATCATGTACTCAAACTAAAATGATGAAGTGATGTTAAACTGTATAAATTTCTTATCAGATATTCTTTTTTTATGTTTGGATATGTGGATAGGAGATGTTTGTTTCATTTGCAGGTAACTACCAGAAAGCTCTAGAGAAATACAAAGTCATTCACAGAAAATTCCCGGAGAATGTTGAATGTAAGTTGTTTCATTGAGTGGTACAACTATCAAAGGAAACTATGTTACATTGAACATGTGTGTTAGTAATCGTATGATGTAGGTATTTTTTATATGAAAATATTTTCATGCACTAACATTTTTATTCATGCTAATGCTGCATGTTTTCTGTGACAACACTAAAGTGTGATTTAAGAAATATTAGGGTAATGCTGAAGAGATAGGAAAATAAACCCAACTGTAGTGGATTAGTTGACTTCTTTCTCATACATACTTCGTAAATTTTATAACTATGTTACTTATTTAATCTTTCTTACCATAAAGTATATGTATTTTTACTTCTAGTCTCTGCTAGTTGAAACTCCTGCGGTAAGTTTCTAGATAGGAGAATATCTTACTGTTAGGTTTTACCAACTGTAAGGCCTGGCCTTCCAAAAGAATGTAGCAGGTGAGATTTTGTTGCTGGGTTTTTAAATGTAGTTGGTCAACCAGTCTCTGGAAAATCTGTAGAGAATTTCAAACTAAACTACAGGAGACATAGCTTTGAAGAGTAAGGCATTTTGCAGAATCAGTCATACCTGTAGTCTAAATGAAAACACCCTGTAGAAAATAGGGGTTGTCGCAGGTTATGAAAACATCCTCTTGCATCACGCACTGTGCCTCGCTAATTCCAAAATACAAGGCTGTCACCAACAAGCCTACGCTTTTAAATGCTGTGTGGGAAGAACATTCTCTGTGTGTTAATATAAAATTGTATCATTGTGCTTTAACAAACGTACTGCTATTTAAAGGAGGAATCATACAGTTCTGGTGTACAAGAGCAATTCAGTACTATGGCTTCTCAAAGTTACAAGCAAAATGTCATATTCGTATTGGTCACACACATATTGCAGAGGGGTAGAGTATTTAGTAAACCTTTTAGAATGCTAATATTTTTCTGAATGTAGTTTCTACCAATTATGAAATGGAGGCAGGAGTTGGACAAGAGAATTTGACTGATTTATAAGTTTTGTGCTGCTGAAACAATGGTTCTTCACTCATCCCTCCCTGGCCCTGTGCTCCCAGACATCTTCCTTCTGGTGGTTCTGATGCTTATCTGTCCCTCGGTGAACAAGTTCAGCTCCCTAAACCAGCAGGAAACTAACTTAGCACAAAAAGAAAATAACATGTTTGTGAAAGCAGTCAGGAGAGGAATGGATCGTGTCATGCTTGTTTCTGCTTCAGAGGCAGTTCTTTCCAGGGGATGTTGACAAACACATAGGAATAGCAAGGATGTTTTCAGAGTTTGGTGTAGTGTCTCAGGAGACTGTTTTTAGGGGTTCTTTTTGTTCCATCATACAGTTACAGTCGATCTGCACTCTCTGGTTTGTTGGGATTTTTTACTTCTATAAATACTAATCTTTAAAAAATCAACCACAGCAACAGAAAAAACCAAACCATTCTGATTCACTTGACATTTGTAAAATTGTTTTCAACAAAATGCTATTGATAGTGGCTTCTTGGTAATAACTTCGTATCATTATTATGCTTTCCAGTTTCCAAAATATTTTGCAAATGTCAAGAGTTCTGAGCCAGATGAGTTGGTATGTCTTGTGCCTTCCACATATATAAACGGTATTTGTATTGTTCGTGGATATAGACACTGCATCACAGAAAATGTTGAATTATTTGCAAAATACCACAACTTGCATAGTGATACTGAACTAGAATCACCTTGTGGTGATTCGTGGTTATTTGGATTGTTTGCCATTCTGTATGTCCAGTTCTGTTAGGGTGCACTTGTAGTTTGACCTGCTTGCAAGCCTTCTTTTAATGATGTTTTGCTTTTCAATTAGGCCTCCGATTTTTAGTTCGTCTCTGCACAGATATGGGGCTGAAAGAAGTCCAGGAATATATGACAAAGCTTGAGAAAGTGGAAAAATTAAAAGAAATAAGAGAGCAGGTAAGCTTGTTTCTTTCTGTGATTAGACAGTATCACTATGTAGATAGATGAAGCTAAAATAGCATTTACAGTACTTCAAGATAAAACGTGTATTAACTTCCTGGTTTAGAGAGCCGTGTGTTTTGCATTTTGGGGGGTTTTAGTTTTAAATTACTGATCAGCCTTCTATCTATCTGAATGGTTTTTGAGCACCAGATTTTCTGTGATTTTAAATGCTAGTGAAAGATGGGTTGTGTGGATGTGATGGGAATGCTGGAGCCATCCACATAACTCAATGTCTCTGGAATGCCGTCTTTCCTACTTATTTGCCAGACTGTATAAAGTGTATTTATGAGCCACGTGATAATGCAACTCTAGGGAGAGAAGGGGAGCCTAAGAATTTGTCCATGTAGTAGAACTCCTTTTTGCTGTATACAAAGCTACAGCATGGACAGATTATATAGGTAGAAGTAAAGTATTCATGTTAGTGCAAATTTTTAAACTGAAAAAATTTCTATGGAAAAGCTACAGGCTGTGAAAGGTCTGAGACCATAACTTGTGTTCTGTTCAGAGGCGTGAGTGTGTGTGTGTATGCGCATGCACCTGCATTGTTTTCTTTCTATTCCTGTGACAAAGTAAGATTTTAAAATTAAAATCGGCTTCTTGTTTGGAAAGCATCTGTGCTGTTGAGCTGTCAAGTGTTCAAGCTTGCTCTTCCTATCCAGTGAATTGCCTGAAAGCTACATGGTCGCATTAGGATACATTAAGTCTTGCCTAATTTACTGTGCTCCTGGCTTATTGGAGCTTACTGGCTCCCCTTTGATGTCAGATAATGTGTAAATGCATCCTTAGTTACTTCACTTTTACTTCAATTCTAGAGACTCTGAGTATGCACATGTACACTAGGACATTTTAAAAATGAAACTCACTGAGGGAAACACTGATCAAAGGATCCAAAATTTATGCTACAACCTTACTTTGGGGGGCTAGTTGAAGTACATTGGTTTGGATTTTCATTAAATGTAAAATTTAAAGCACTTGGAAAAATGGACAAAAGCAAACAGTCCACAAATGTAGTGGGACTAATATTCCTCCATGTCTTCTCCATAATGGTATCAGTAAGCGAAACAGATGACCAGATATAATGTTCCTATTCTGCAAAACTCATAATTAAGAGATCTCTCTGAAGTGTGTTAAACAGACTTTGCTTAGTTTCTAGGGAATATCAGTTCAATGTCATTGATATACATAGTTCTTTGCAATAACTTCCAATCCCTCAGTGCCTTACTCAGGAAAGCTCATGGATGAAACCAGTTAAAACTGGATTATTTTATAGTTGGTAAGAGAGAGGGGTCTCTGGAGATGGAGAGGTTATCTATCTTCTTGCATATAATTCCAGCATTTTTTCTGCTGAAGGTGTTAATTATGTACCATAGATCTGCAAATGTTGAGGATTCTAAGGAAAACACTTTTTTCCTTTAGGAAAGTTAATGTTTGAATATGTAAAAAAAAATAATAAATTGTCACATCTCGTCGTGCTTATTTCATGTTGGAAGCAGAAGCTTTCCTGAACGTATTTCTGTACTTTCTGGTGGGGAAGAAGCTACCAGTAAAACATTTAAAATATTAAATCATCTAAGTTATTTAAGATTTTAGTAACACAGAAATCATGTTCAAATTATGGGTTTTATTCATTCTGACTGCATTGTGTTGAGGGACTTCATTGAATAGTACCTGGATGACAGAGATATCGATGGAAGACAGTACAGATGCATGGTAGCACAAGTTATTGCATAGTTGTTTTAGACTGTTCAAACTTTAGGAGTGATCATAATTCAGCATGACATGGAAAGCTCACTCTGTGTATTACATTTCCGTATTCCGGTTTGAGTCTGGTGACTCTATACTGTCACAAAACTAACCGTGCAAAGCAGAATCATAGAAAGGTTTGGGTTGGAAGGGACCTTTAAAGATCATCTAGGGCAGAGACAGCTTCCACCAGACCAGGTTGCTCAAAGCCCCATCCAACCTGACATCGAACAATTCCACGGATGGAGCATCCACAGCTTCTCAGGCCAACCTCTTCCAGTACCTCATCACTCTCATCATAAATTTTTTTTTCCTTATATCCAATGTAAGTCTACCCTCTTTCGGTTTAAAACTGTTGCTCCTTGGCCTGTCACTACAGGCCTTGGTAAAAAGTCTCTCCTCATCTTTCCTAAAAGCCCCCTTTAAGTATTGAAAGGCTGCTCTAAGGTCTGCCCGGAGCCTTCTCTTCTCCAGGCTGAACAACCCCAACTCTCTCAGCCTGTCCTCACAGCAGAGGTGCTCCAGCCCTCGGATCATCTTCATGGCCTCCTCTGGACTCGCTCCAACAGGTCCCTGTCCTTCTTGTGCTGAGGACCCCAGAGCTGAAGGCAGTACTGCAGGGAGGTCTCACCAGAGCGGAGGAGAGGGAAGAATAAGGTATCTATGATGGCTCTTCTAATTAGTCAAAGGTAGATCTGCCTAAATATTTTCCTATGGTGTGTTGCCCAGAAAAGAAGATAGGCTTTTAAATTCAAATAAGCCTGATTCTATTGTCATTTAAACTAAGCCAATTTTCTTTTAAACACAGAAAACTGAAATGCAATAGGTTTAATAAAAGCAAACAAACCCCAAACAAAACAACACCCAGGCCCCCCACCCCCTTAAAACCACCACCACCACTAGAAATAAAACAGGTCTCTAGTCAGCTCTGTCGGCTTCATCCCTGCAGGTAGGCCCATGCTTCCAGCCTGAGTAAGCTCAATGAGTTTTGGAATGGCAGAAAAATTCTGCCCCTGTGGTTCCTGGTACCTTCTCTTCAGAACCTCTGAAGCCTGATCCTTTCTGCTCCTTCTTGCAGCTCCTTGTCCTGGAGGGACATGCTCCCATCTCCCTCTTCGGGCTCTCTCGTCTGCTGCATTCTGAAATCTCCCAAGTTCAGTGTCTCCTCAAGGAAAGGAACAACTTTTTCTGCCCCCCTAGGAATGGACTGACCCCGTTTTCTTAAAAATCCACACCATTGTAGATTTAAAGGACGAAAAACTCTTAAGAAAAGAAGGATGTTACAGCACACACTGCGATTTAGTGTGCTGCTGTCCTGTATTAGAAGTTGAGTGTCCTTCTGTGACAGAATCTCAACATCAGTGCTGTCTTACAAACAATAGCCCTGCAGTTCCTTTTTGCTGTTGGTATTACATCTGGGTTCCCATGCCCTGGGTTTGGGTTTGGGGATTTTTTTTGTTTGCTTGGTTGGTTTGTGTGTGTGTGGTTTTTTAGTCTTATGTCTACCATCTGGCTTTGGAAATTACTAGGCCTTTTTTGTCCTAAGAAATTCCTTCTGTCATCCTTGAGCATGTATTTATAAGCTATACTTTCAAGTTCTAAAATTACCAAATTTTAATATTTCACCACCTAAGATTCCAATAGGAATGCTGGTTTCGGTCAGCAATACCAGATATTGTTCAATTCCTGCTCCCAGTTTCCAACTGACCCATGATTTCTTGATTGCACCCAGTAAAGAGCTAATAGATAAATGCTAGTGTAATACACCTGCATTTCAAAGCCTGCAGACAGACTTTGTTGTCCTGTAGAAATTTATCAAAATTTGCTATTCTGGCATTGTTTTTCCAGAATAAGTATATCCACATGGAGTTTATACCAAAATAAATATTCTGGAGTACTTATTTCACTCAGTTCTCAAATATGGACAAGTTGTTAAATATTTCCAGCCAAGAATCTGGGAACATCTGTGGGGTTCATTCCCTGCAGAAATTTTTCTTTTCTTTTTTTTTTTTTTTGACTGCATTAATCTTCCGTTTTCATGTTTCAGTCTAAAAAAGACCGGTAATAGCGTAGAAGTTCACAGAACCTTCTTGGCACTGATGTATGTGCACATTACTATTTATTTCCGTTAAGCAAGCTTAATGACTGAAAATGAAGGACTGGCTGGGTGTGGTGTGAAGCAGTGATGATAGGTGCAAACCCTTGGGGGGGACTTAGGGACTTACTGCCTTCACCTTCAGGCGTCTACATCTGGACTAATCATCTGGAATGTCTTTTGCAGTCATGGGAGAGAAATAGGCGTATTTAGGGTGGAAATCATTGGACCTATTTTAAATGTCTGCTGTTAGGATGGGATGGCTTATAAACTGCTCACTTGGAACTTCACAGGAACGAGTCATATGCTTAAGCTGTAGTACTGCTGTAATATTTTTGGGAGTGAAGTGCTAGTATGTGAATGCCATGAGGGCACTATCATATAGGGACCATTTCCCTCTGGCAGACAGAAGCTGAGCTTCCACTGGCAGACTTGTCAGTCATTCAACATTTGGAGAGTCTGAACATGCTTCCTGAAGGACTGATGTGTGCTACTTCACTGGACCGTGAATAGGATATTTAATCCAAAATTCAGAGAACATATTTTAGACTTGAGGATTTCCCAAAATAAATAAAAAGTATGAGAAATTCTGGTCCCAGACTGGATCGCTCCAAGACCATTCCTGGTTTCACGCTAGGCTCACTGCTTTCCTGTCTGACTCCTGTGAGTTTTGATTTAAGGGTTCTTCTGCTGACATGAGTCTTGAGAGTTCTTTCAGTTCTTCTGTGTCATTCCAACTTTGCCAGACTCCATGATATTTTTCTGGTGAAAAATGAGTGAAGAAGCTACAGTAATTGACCCGAATAAATGGTTAGGTAGTGGACTTATGTTTTAATCAGATCTTCAATTCACATTTTGAAATAAGATGCACAGCTTGCTCTATTAACAGCTGATTGTTTTAAATACCAAGTTTTTTATACTTACCCATCAAAAACTCCCACACTGAGATGTACCTTCTTGTATTTAACAAGATACATGCGTGAGAAATTTGGTATTTTGCCAGGAGAAGCCAAGTCTGCCATGTGATACAGAGGTACTGCTTTGATAAACTCTTAAACTTTTCAAATAACACTAAAAAAACCACAGCTGGAAGATGTTTATGGTGCCTTCTTCAGTACAAGAGAGCTGACTTTTTAAACACAGCTTTTAAAGTATGTACCTTCACCTTTATCTTGCATTTACCACTCAACAGCAAATTAAATTTTGCTGTAAAGTACAGTGCTGTGCCAGATATTCAAAATTTAAGATCTATGGAGTGAATATTTCTTTCCCTACTTCCCCCCGCTTGAATCTTGACAATAATAAAACGCTTGTGGGATTTACAAGACGTTAATACACAGAGGCTACTTGGAACTCATGCAAGGATGGCTATGTTGACTGTTTTTTCAGCCTTACTTAACAAAAGTGCGTCTGAACTATTTTTATGCACGTTCCTTGTATAAACTCTATCTGAAGAAAAATAATTTATTGAGATATTCCATTTGAATTTCATAGAACTCTTGTTTTATGTAAACGTTGGGTTTAACACTGATTTTAAGGACAATTTTGTGCGTTGAAAAAACAAGGTTTATCAGTTACAGTATAGTAAGCCTAGTTTAATGTTCTTCTACTGTTTTATGAGCTAAGTTGAGTTTTCAATAATTACCTCTAATGTATATTACTAAATGGGATTTTGTTCCGTTCTTTTCAAACCTTTTTCACTGTTGTCCAGCGCATTAAATCTGGCAGAGATGGCAGTGCACGTAGCCACAGAGAAGGAAATGCGAATGGTGGTAAGTACTTAATGCCTCTGCTTAAATACCAGATTTGTCAGGATCCTAAAGAAAATAGTTTTTCTTAAAGTGTTTGTAAAACCTCCTTACATTCTGAAATGCACAGAAATATGCATTGAGTAATGTGCAAGTATTTCACAATTTCAGTATTTCTCATTGTGTGAAACCTCAACCGGTATAGCAGCATGGATTTGATCTAAGATTGGTGCTTTATATACAGATCTCCGTGTATTTCTAAAGCTAAATTTCTACTTATTTTCAATACTGTAGACTTGAACATTTTTATCCCGTTAACTTTGGAATATTTACTATAGAGAGTCATTGTTATAACAAAACAGAACATGTAAGCCATGACAAACAGGAATTCATTGTGTCTTTATTTAACAAGGAGGAAAGGGAATTTTGTGCCCACCATCTAGCCTATTACAGTCGGCGTTTGTTACAAATTCAAGAGGCTATTTTGTGCAACCAGCTCCGTAATAAGGAGAAGACACCCATACTCCTTCTTCCCCTTTTCCCAGTATAGCAGGGCTGAAGTACTAGAGTCTTCCATAGAGGAAAGCTTGCTCTCTGACTACTGAGTCTCTCTGCGCCTGTAGACTGACAATGCTGACTTTCAGAAATGTAAAACTCTAGCAACGTAAGTCTGGAAACTGGCCGGCTTTGTCTTTTCTGCACTAGGTAGTCTGCATATTGCCGAGCTAGTGATTTTTCCCTCCCATTATTAAATCCATGAAATGTTAGTAATGTTAAACTTAACTGTTCCCTGCTGATGCTCTAAGGAAACCAGCAGACTTCAGGCTACTTTAGCCTGGGGGCAGGGGGGTGTGAGTGGGTGGAAATCCCGATTTTGACCCAAAAAGGAAGTGGTTTCTTTGTATTCTACTTTTGGTTTATCGTAATATCGGTGGCTCTCATAAAAAGATATCCCCTATAAATTCTTGCCTCTCTTCCCTTCCTTTTACAGGGAAATGATTTATGGAATTTTTAGTTCTTATTTGGTAATTTTATTTCTCCACCTACACAGCAGATGCTTCACTACATTTATCCAATTCTGTAGGGTCATGAAAAGTTACAGAAATTACTAGTGTAATCTTAAGATGACCTTAGAATGCTGTTACATTTCTGAAGACTGCTCTCCTGGGTTGTCTAAGGGTTAAGAATGAGTGTTGGATGCTTCAGAGAGGTCTTACTCCTTTTTCAGCTCAGTAGTTCCACTACAGAAGCTTTTACATCACTTCTTGATATGTAGAAAAACCACTGTTCACCTATGATTGAATTTTACCTGTTCTGGGCCTCAGGCCAAAGTAATTCTTGGGGTGAAATTCCTTATTTGGGGAACAGAGAGCGTGAGACAGCATCGGTCCCCGGTTTCTGTCACAAAGTGGAGATCCACTTCAGCTTATAATAAATAGAAATGAAGAGCAGCATTGGTAGCAGGCAAGGGTATTTACAGCTGTGCAAAACATTGCATCAGGCATACAGGCAAATGGCACAAAGGGTCTCTCTTCTCACAGCTATATTTTGTAATTATCCCTACCCTCGTTAGTGAAGAAGGGGTATGTTACCGGGAGAGAGTAAGTTAGTAATTTAGCAAAAGAGGCTATAAATAATGATCAGTGCTGGGAAGATGCTAAGACAACATTAATCTCCGAACTACCAGTTTGTCAATACTTCTTTTAAAGACAGAAGTATCTATGGAAAGTTACCCTTTTATAAAAATTAAAAAATAAAATAAAAAAATCCCTTTCCCTCCTCTTCATGAGGAGGAACACATGAGGAACTTTGACTGCAAGCTCTAGTAATTCCAAGGCATTACTCTTTCCCCCCATAACCAGAGTAACGAGAGAAGAGCAAATGCAGGCGTCTAGGATGCTAACATAAAGAGGATGAGAGAGTAAGCAGGGTCAGAAATGACCTAGAATTTGTCTTATCAATAATTCTTAGATTGTTGCTCAAGATATTATGTCAAATTCGTGAAAGAATGGAAAAAAACAGAATTTGGGAACAAGTCTGTATAAGAGCATGTTTGCGAAGTCTCCGTTATACAAATTCAGTGCCAAAGATCCAAGCTTTCTGGAAATGACTTAGCAAACAAGCAGAGGTACAAAGAAGGTCTTGTATTGAGCCTGGAGTTAACTTTCTGCTGGGATTCCTCATTAAAAGGTGCGGTGAGATGTACTACTTTATATTTTTAGAAAGAGTCAAAGGCATTGTAGGTTTTCTAACTAGTAATGTTGGCTCTGGGAAACCTTAGCAGTGGAGAAACTGCATGCTCACAGCAACAGATGTTAAGGACTACGTTGTAGTTTGTCTGCCCTTTACTGAGGATGACTGAGAGAAACCTGAAGCCCCAAACATCTTGTCCAGTGTTTGGCGTTACTCACCTGGGTTAGGAGTCTGTATTTTGCAGTTTAATAAATTTCTGTACATGGGCTGTGTGAAGACACACATGAAATATAAACACGGGTTATTTTATTTCAGAATCTTAGCACACTTTCGATAAAATAATGGCTTCAAAATTAAAAAAAAAGGAAACATTTGTTTAAATTTTAAGATTAATCTTTTCCAGTGGTGTTGCCAAGACCAAAAGGGATCATTTTGCTACAGTGTGTGAGGGATTTGCCATCATTACTGAACCCAGTGAAGCATGGAATCCTCCTTAGTTTAGTACTTACTAGCTAAATTACTTACTAGCTAAACGAAGTGTGTATGCATTCCAAATATTTGAGGTATGATGCATGTTTTATTTCTTTCCTCTTACCGGCCTAGTGTCCCCATACTTACTGGCATTCTCAACAGATTCCCCCCCCCGCCGCCCAAAGTATTTTGTCCCTATGTAGCTGTTTCTGTTAGGAGTATTAACAATTCAAGCTTCCTTGTTTTAGGAAATATGATCTAAAATTGCTTTTAAAGGGGAAGCTAAGAGGAAAGAGAACTAAGTCAGTAGGGTTTGTACTTCATAGGACACCTGCTACTTTGCTAACATAAATTAAAACAGAAGGTGCATGAGATGCACCAAAGCATAATTTGAAGAATATGATTAGTGTGTGCCTGGATGGTAGACAGAATGGAAAAAGGGAGACCGAGAAAACTGACATCTGTATCAGCGTCAGTTAAAGTCTGCTCTTGTCTTGAGAAGGATAAGCATTAAATCTAAAATGCCTACCCAAAATTGAACACATTTGTTCAGTCATATTATAAAAAGTGAAATGTTCTTCTCCCCACAATTATCAGGCTTATGATTTTAAAGCTTTTTGATTCATGTTGTAAGCAGATGACATTGGTACACTCTCTTAAAAATCTTCTTTTTAATTTAAAAAAGGAGAAAGAAGAAAAAAAAAGACAAAAACAAACCCAAAAACCAAACCAAAACTCACAGAACCCTGAAGGGAGCTAACAGTACATCCGAGTTTAGGCAGTTCTCAAAGATTTCCTTTCCATTAATGCTTTCTTGTTTTCATACTCACTTTTTTGTGTTTTTCAGAGATGTGACAGTAACATCCAGAATTTGGAAGTTAGGACACTATGGTTTTTACTACCCTAAGAGTACGGTTCAATAGCCTGAGGCCTTGCACAGATAAGGGAAAGTGTGACTTTAAGGACTACATTACCATAGCAGTGTTTACTTGGTCTCTGCATTTGCCCTGCTCTCTGAATGGGGAGTTTTGTGCTGGATGAGAGGAGCCGTGCAGTCTCGGACAGGAGCCCAAAGAAGCAGTGTTGAATTCAGAAGACGAAAGGCTGAGCACTTTGCATTCTCCTTGTTACCTAAGCCTGTTCAGATGAATTTGGAAAGGAAACCAGGCGAGAATAATTTAGGTGTCTTCCGTTTTTTATTTCACGTGTGACAATACCAGTGGAGAAATGGATTTGTCCATCCCAAACATCCCATATTCAAACACCCTTTACCAGCCCGTAGGGATCTCCTCATATATGGAAGCACATTATAGATGTTAGGACTCTAAGCATCCCATCTTGACTATGATAGAGGCAAGAGATTCTCTTGTTACCCTGCAGCCAGGACTTCATGATCACTTGGGTTTTCCAGGCTTTGTGTGCCTGTTGATGTGTCATTAATTACAAATCGTTGTGGGATGGTTGCATTGGCTGGGGGTGGGGAATATTTTTAATAAATGGACAGGGAAAATATCTGAGTGAAGAAAACATCTTAATCTGTTTTCTGCATCTGAACTCACCTAAGGAGTTAGCTGAACTGACACTGTAAACAATTTTCATTTAACAGAATTTTAAATCAAAATGAACTGCAGTGGAGTTAAACATTGCATCTGCTTCCCATGCTGTCTCTCAGTTACAGTGTAGGATTCTGCCCGCTACACTGACCTTACCGCTCTCTTTTTGGTCAAACCAAAGCCCCCTCTTCTCCAAAGATGGCATCTTCATCCCAAACATGAAAGATGCACAGAGCTGCATTTAAACACATTCTGGATTTAGCGAAGCATCTGTAGTCTTTAAAAGCATTAGCCCACTATGCGCTTTGAATAAATAT